GATAGATAGATAGATAGATAGATAGATAGATAGATAGATAGATAGATAGATAGATAGATAGATAGATAGATAGATAGATAGATAGATAGATAGATAGATAGATAGATAGATAGATAGATAGTGGGTTGTTGCCTCCCTTGCCACACTACTTCGATCACAGTATGGTCTCAAGTTTCCATCATGGTGGCCCTCATCCTCATATGCCTGTTGGGAACAGGATGTGTAAAGAGAAAGAGCTCCATGCAATTCCCTTTTCTGTCAGCCACAACTCCACCCTACATAAGATGAGAGAGCCACTGGTGGGCTGGCATATGTGATGGAGAGTCTCAGCTGGCTTTGCAAATGTTGGGACAGCCCAGAGGTGTCCCAGTTGTAAAATGGAAGTTCTGCTAGCATCCTTAAATGGCACCTGGGAGGCAAAAGACTCTAGCAGCAATCAGGCAGTATCAGCATCTGCAAAGCAAGCTGAGAGACCACATAAGCATGCTAGCAGATCTTTTAATTCTATTTGCATTATATAGGAGCTGTAGTTTGCAACAATTATGCTCATATGATCTGACCACAATTAAATGAGAAGAAATGTTAATTCCAAAGAATACAGACAGTATCCCATTTTATCTTCACCACAACTTCATATGTTAAATCAGGATGAGAGAAGTTAGGATGTGTCATTATCTAGCAATATTCATAGACACTTAGGTGTTTGAATCCATATTTGCCCAGTTCAAGTCCAATAATGTATGCACTCCAACAAGATGAGTATGTCTTGGTTCATAGATCAGTTAGGGCTATACATGTGAGCACAGTGTGAAGGAGTACATTTGGCCTTCTCTGCATTATACAGATAATTAATCTAACGTGCATTAGGCGCTGTATATAGACACAGTCCATGTAATGAAAGAGTAGGAAGATGTGGTAACTGGGCCTCTGTGTGCTCAGGTGTTCATGTACATTCACTTTTCAGAGGTTTTATCTACATAGCTGATGCAGTGGGTTTGGTTCACTCCTCCATCATAAAAGGATGGCATTAGCCATGACAGATATGTGAAATGGGATTATGTTTCTCAGCTACAGTATGTCTTAAATTAAATATCACTCAGTGATGACAATTGTGTTGTGAGGTATGAATGCTTAATGCTAATCATACTTCTTCCATTCTTTCTTTCATTTTCTTTTTAAAGGCTTCACAAGACTTGCTGCTCATGCAGTATCTATTGTAATCAGCAAGTTACCTACTGTGATTGCATGTTTGCCTCCCCCAGTTAAGTATTTCTTTTTTCTATCTGAGAAGAAAATGCCAAAAAACTTCATTGAATCAAAAAAAGCTGGTCTTCTTGTCTGGATCTTGATTCTAATCATATGTCGGATATTTGAGGATGGAAACACCACAGAACTTTTAACTGGTACAACTCTTGACAGATGGAGTAAAGAGAAGCTCACCTTAATTCATGTATGTTTGGAAAGCATTTTAGGGAAAAAGAAAAGCAGCCCCAAACAAGTGACACACAAGATTATACAGAGCATTGAACAACAAAGGCCAAACTGGATAGAAAACCAGCTACTAAAGGCAAGAAAACTAAGCATGGATTGGTAAGAAGACATGATCTTTTCTGTTTCCTTGCTTGCTTTTACTTTTTACTTTTACAGATGATGCTGTTTATAATGAAATATTTTATAGTAAAAATGTTTACTGTAGCAAGTACTGTATTCCCATAGAGCTCTGATTATTAGTATAAATAGAAAGCAAGAAACATGGTATTTTCCCCCATTGTAAGTATGAATTGTCATTACATATATTCTGGCAATGGATTTTGCTATGGAGATTAAATTAAGGAGGATGGGGGCCATACAAAGGGTCTTTTCTGATTAGAAACAAATAAGCACATTTAGTTTTGTAAAATAACAGTATATCCAGAGGGAAATTGGGGCATTTCAAAATTGCCAAGAAAAGCATCCAGCTGCTTCCTTTGTGACTAAAATATCAGTCTTTCCAGATTTCACTTCACATTGCCAGCATTTAGAAGATTTTCTAAAAGTTGAATGAAGAAGTCTTTGAAAGCTCTCTGAATTTTGTGGATTTTTAAATTGGTAGCATTTAGGATAAATTTATTACTGGATTATAGTTGTTTATATGGTTTATTGAAAACTTTTCTCTGGTTAGAGTAGAAGCATTTGTTTCTTTCATTCCGGCTTCATAAGGGCCTACACGTTAATTTCTTGCTTCTTGTAATCTATTTGAGAAATGTAGCACTGCAAGATCGAATCATCCATGTAAATGAATATGCATTTATCCAGCACATCAGCTTGTGCTATTTTATTGCAAAGTTATTGGGTTGGCAGGAACTACATTAAACATTAATACTACCACACAAATGCTTATTGACACTGACCTTCATAATCTTTATGGTTTCATTTATTACTAATTTTGAGGCTGTAATCCAGTGATTAAGACTGGATGCCATCTATGATAACAGGGATAAAGAAAAAATAATATTCACTGTAAGAGTACAGTGGTGCCTCACATACCGAACGCACCGTATAACGCCGAATTCGCATAGCGATCCCTTCTCCGGGATCGCTAATGCGGAGGCATAGCGTCCATCCATATGGAGAAAACTCGCTTACCGAAGGGTGCCAGGAAGGAGCCGCCGCCGCTGCCGCCGCTGCCGCCGCAAGAGTGATGTGGGGCCACGCTGGCCGGGAAGAGGAAGGCAGGCTGCAAGGCAGGCAGGCGAAGGGAGGGAAGCCGCGCATTTGCGCGTCCTTCCCCCCCCCACTTCCCTCTTCCTCCTCGTCCTTCTCCTGCCGCCCCCAGGGACCAAAGCAGGCTGCAAGGCAGGCAGGTGAAGGGAGGGAAGCCGCGCGTTCGCGCATCCTCCCCCCCACTTTCCCTCTTCTCCTCTTGCTGCCGACCCCCCAAACCTCCCACAGAGTCGGGCGATCAGCTGTTTGGCGGTTCTAAAATGGCCGCCTGACGCCCGAAATCCCTGCATGCAGCGTTTTCGCGCCCTCCCCTCGCTTACCGGGCGCGAAAATGGCTGCCGCTATGGAGGAAACTTCGCTGAACGGTAAGTTTAGGGCCAATTGGAATGCATTAAACGATGTTTAATGCGTTCCAGTGGGCTTTTACATTCCGTTTAGCGACGATTTCACATAGCGAGGGGCACCACTGTATCATAATTCAGCCTGAACATTGTAAGGACTTTTGAAGCAAATACTGTTGTTGATAATATAGGTAAATTGGAAGATGTATGAACTCAGATATTATTTTTTTCAGAGCACTTATTCCATCAGGCACACACAGGAGGGTATCTTGACTGCTGATATTGGTGTTGTCAAAATTCAGGCTGCCCTTTGCTACATAAAGCTTGGGATCTTTTTTCCTGCTAGCAGTGCAGGCATGAAATTGTGCAGGAATATCAGGCCATTTCCTTATGTTTCAAATCATGAATACAGGAGCACAATATCCGTATTCATAAACTGGAGTATTTTTTTGCAGAATTGAATTTTATGTTGCTGGAGGTGTTTATGATCTTCATGTCTTTAAATTAAATTGTATAGCTTACTGCAATGAGCTGCTACTAACTCATGAGTTAATGGCCACATTGTGAAGAATGTGTCTACTTGCACAACATAAGGATGTGCCTGGTGATGCAATCTGCACCTTGTTATTTGCAATTTGCCAGAATAAGTTATGTAAATTAACTTAACAAACACATAAATCACCAATAGGATTCTGACCACAGATTATTTTAATTATGAAATACGGATTAAATAGGACTTTTAGTCCCAAGCAGAATTATAACCACTGAACTTCATAATGAAAGTCCTAGTGATTAAATGGGTCTTTTCTAATTGGGGCTAACAATTATATCGGTTCTTTATTCATTTATTTCATTTTATATCCCTAACATGTCTAAAGAAATGCGGTAAATGTGATTTGTCTACGTTAAACTCTCTGCACAGATTTTGGATCTATGATAATTTAATAACTGTAGAATTATCAAGTGATTTAAATGAATTCAAAATATTATGCATCTAATAAATTACTGCCTGAACAAGTTGTATAATTTTAAACCAATGTTGGTACAGGTTAAATATCATTTGATGGAAAAAAATAAGTTGCATTTCTGTTTAATATTGCTTTGGTCATATCAAGTACATTGTTTTAGCTGATGAACATCAATCTAATTTATTTTTATGGAAATAGTGAAAAGGAAATTCAGTGTTTTTTTGTTTTTTTAAAGTGGCAACTGTATTCATTTCCTGTCTTCCCTAATGCCAAAAGCATTTACTGTACATTAAAATAACCTTCAGTTTGTTATTAGCTCCCAGGCTATAAACAGTCAACTAAAATTCTGGAGAACACTCAGCTTGAAAAGTAAAGAAATATCTGTCTTTGCAAAGTAATTTGTTGAGTTGAAGATTATTATTTTTCATCATGGTGACCCTGAGTTGCCTGACTGGATGCATATAAAGATTAAGATGAATGCAGTTATTCCTTGGCTGAGGTCTGCCTCTTTCAGGGCACATTCTCCCTAATGACATGATTGATAGGCAGTCCCAAATCCAGAGAGGAACTCATTAATCACAGCACTGACTGAATCCAATCATCTGCTTCACCTGCATAGTGATGGACAGGAAAGGATACAGTTTGGGTGCTGACACTGATACACTCCTTTGTCAGAGGGCTGTAACTTTTTCAATGTCATCCTCTAAGCAATTTCACATAGAATTCAGTAGTACAATCATGCAGTTTTTAAAAGCTAGCTTCAAAATTTTCTAGTTATAAACATTAAATTTTCTGGAAATTTTCACATAGCATGTATTTTGCAGAAATGCATGTTCGTTGCATTTCATACTGTATTCTGCCTAGGACCTTCAGTAGTTGCATTTTGAACCTAAATTATACCTTAACATTCAAGCATTGTGTGGCATTTTGGTGACCAGAATGATCAAATAAATGTAATGTTGGCATATTTAAAACAAATAATTGCAGTTTACTGCTAAATATTGATAATTAAGGCTCTTGTCCGTTTACTATTAATAAGTCTCACAAAAGTCAGGATTAACACAGTAACCCCCATGTTATATTAGTTCTACACAGATGATTGTACTGCACACAGTAAGAGAAGCTTCATAAGAGAAGCAACTTGCTTTATTCATTCACAAAGTTACATTGCAGCCTTTAAAATAATCACCATAAGAACTGTAAGATGAAGATGCCGTCTGTTAGTTTCTGGAGTGTCTAAGAGAATTTGCAGTACAATTATGAAAGTTGAATCATATAGCAATACATGTGTAATTAGAAAGATAAATACTGTAAGTAAGCTTTAACTTTGCAAGCAAAAAACAAGAAGGGAGTTTAAGAGTTTGACTTATTTCCCCAAAGCAACAAATGGAATAAAGTTACATTGCAGACCGCTGGAAACCTTTAAGATGCTGAATTTCATTGTACACTTTGTACAATGGCTAATTTTGCAGCTTTTTATCCAGGATTTAAAATGGAACAGCTGGTGAAATCTAAGGAAGCAGCTTTTAGAATCAGAAATGCTATTTTGGTTTGATTTATACTTTGTTTAGCTTGTTTTTAAAATTCAAGCTTTATATTTTCTTGTATTAAGTCAAGATTCCACAGTGGCATCAATAGGGAAATAAATACAGAAAAATACAAGAGGGAAAACAAATGGGTATGAGTGGTAGAAAAACGTTGAGTATCCTCACAGTTTTATATAAAGGTATTCAGATATTTAAAAATGACTGTATTTCTTAGATTAATTCTCTTGATACTTATTAGCTTTCATCACTTCTTGTTCCTAATACTTATGTTTTCTTTCTTTTCAAGTACTGTTATTCTTGCAGAAGATGGTAAAAGCTTACAAGAGGAAGCTATTGAGCTTGAATTGACTGAGCAGAAAATAGACATGATGGTCCTGGATATCTGCCACAAACCAGGTGGCTGTGAATACCTGAGGCAAATTTATCACATCATCCAGCTCAATGAGGTAGGGAAACAGCCTTTTTTACCGAGCAATTAGGTGTGTAGTGGCCTGAGGCAGCATCGGCTGGCAGCTAAGGGTTAGTCAAGGAGGTGATAATGCTTCGTAAAGTCAATAGCTAACTCAATATTGCACTGTGTTAGACTGTTCTGTTTAAGCTTTTTTGCATTTATTTAGAAAATGTTACTTCAGAAAAAATTATATGCCTTTTATTTATGTATTTAAAATATGGCATGTTTCATTGACTTGTTTTTGAGCTGTGTTTCACATGACAGGGAAATTAATACTGTGACAAAATCATCTGGGTTTTTTTGTAGGAAACCAAATTAAAGGTAATAATCAGATTTAAAAAATTGAAGTATACACATTAAAAAGAAACTTGCACATGTAAAGTTCATTACAATTTTAAAGCCCTATTTTAAACTGAAAATCAGTCTGGTGTGGTGGATAATATTTTGGATGAGGACTGAGGAAATCCAGGGTCAAATCTTTGCTAGGCTGCGGAAATTATCTGAGAGGTGGCAGAAGGTTCCACGTACATCTCACATACCTTCAAAACCCTATTAGGGTTATCATAAATTGGAAGTGATTTTGTAGCATGTAGTATCAGCAAATTGTAAACTGCAAACTTATAATCAATAGGTTTTACCAATATAAGAACCTCTAAATTAGCAACAAGAAAGTTTCATCTCTAAAACAAGTGGTAAATAGTGACTTTTCTATCAACTGCCTTTTGAGTCAGTTTTGTCATTATGTTATTTTCCCTGAGAAGATAATAATGACAAACTTTCTCTGTGCTTGCAGTTTTTTTCTCCTTTTGTTTCTCATTATTGAAAGAATTGCCAATTTTATTTGGGAAAGAATCAGTTCTATCTTAAATAAGACCCTGTTGCTGGAGAACAAGGTGGGAAAGATTGTCACAGATATAAGAAGCATACTGGAGTGCTCCTAAGTCATGACAGTAATTATACAATTCTTCAAAAAAAAAAAAACTCTGATTTTTGAATGTGGGATATTGTGCTTCTCTATGTGTGATTCAGAACACTAGGAAATGGACAGATGTTGCTGTTCAATATCGAGCCTACATTGCCAGCAGGAAAAAGGATACCAAATTTGAATAGCAAAGGGCAGTCTGAATGTTGACAATATCAGTGTCAGCAGTCAAGATACCCTCTTGTGCTCACTACAGTTCACAAAGAGAGACCAAGCAAGGGAAAGTCCCCAAACCTTTCTTTTTGCATCAGTTAACCACTTCTCACCAAACACAAAGCAATTGTCAGGGCTGTTTTTCAACAAGTTCTCTAAGCATCTGTTGCTTGAACTTGTTAAAAAATAGCCCTGACAGCTCCTATACTAACATTACTGATCCAAAGCCCAGTTTAAAATTATTGGTAGCTCTGCTGATGTTATTTCTGAAATCTGCAACTGCATATAACACTGTGTAAAATTTCTTGATATTGTTCCCAAAGCCCATATGGCAATGGGGACCACTGAAGTATGTTTCAGTCACAGGCAAGATATTTCATTTGTTAGGTCTCTGTACCTTGTTGGTTTTCCAGTTCTTTATCTTCAACTCTGTATCCCCTTGAATTGCAATGTCAATGATCCAGGCATTATTTCGTTCTGTTACTACTATGTCTGGTATATTATAGTCAAGGTATCTATCAGTTTGGATCCAGAAATCCCACAAGATCTTGACTTTGTCATTTTCTGACACCTTCCCTACCTGATGTTTCCATGTTGTTGTTTTTTGGTTTTGCTGGCAAGTTATATTTTTTGCATAATGACTAGTGCACTAATTTTGTCACTTTATCATGTCTAATTTTGTGATCTGTTTGTGCAATCTTCGTGCAAATTTGGACATTCACAGATGAGGTGTGACACAGTTTCATCTTTTTCTTGGCAGAGTTGACATTTGCTGTTAGCACGAATTCCTTGATTCTTATTCTTATTCTTATCATTATTAGTATAATAACACTACAGTTGCTTCCTTTGGCCTGAAAGTGGAGCAGAGATCTATGGCTCCCTAAAACTTAAAGAATGGGCAGATTTATTTGTGTGTACTGCACAAAAGGTACTTTGTTAAGAATTAGGAGGTCATGTGTAGTATGTTTCCTGTGTGTTGAGGACATTTTGTGGATTATAATAGGAATCTGGAATACAGTGGTGCCTCGATTTACGAACTTAATTGGCTCAGGAAGATGGACATAAGTTGAAATGGTCGTAAGTCGAAGCACCATTTCCTATTGGAATGCATTGGAATGCAATTAATCCATTCCAGCCAAAGGAAAAAATCACCAAAAAAAATCACTGTAAGACCGGTCAGAAACATGATTAATCCCTTCCAGCCAAAGGGGGGAGGGAAGAAAAGCAGTCAGCAGTGCAAGCCCCATTGCAAATACAAACAAGAGAAGGCAAAAAGCAATCAAGTGTGGAAGACCCATTGCAAATGCAAACAAGAGAAAGCAAAAAGCAATCAAGCGTGGAAGACTTAATGCAAAGAAAACAAACCAAAAACCAATCAACCGTGCAAGACCCATTGCAAATGCGAACAAGAGAAAGCAGAAAGCAATCAAATGTGGAAGACCTAATGCAAAGAAAACAAAGAAAGCAATCAAACGTGGAAGACCTAATGCAAAGAAAACAAACCAAAAACCAATCAACCGTGCAAGACCCATTGCAAATGCAAACAAGAGAAAGCAAAAAAACAGTCAAGCAGATTGTGCAACATTGTAAATGGGGGAAAAACAAAAATGCAAACAACCCCCCCCAAGACCCATCAGAAATGGGGGGGAATCCAAAAAGCAACAAAAAACCCCAAGACCCATCGGAAATGGGAAAAACAAACAAACAAACCCCCTGTGATGGATGCCCAGGTTGGTCCTGTCAATCACAGCGGAACCTCATGTGCATAAGCCAGTGAGAGGACAGGAGAGGCAGAGGCAGAGGTCTGTCAGTTAGTCACTTGGAGAGATAGAGAGAAGAAGGAGTGAGGTTTGCAGAAAGAGATAGATAGTCAGAGATGAGAGAGAATTGTTCCTAATAAATATAAACTGGTTAAATTGAAAATAAGTAAACAAGAGGTGATTGAGTGTGGAACCTAAAATATAACATTTCTGTGATTGTGATCTAATGAAAATTAATAAAGTTACCCTTTTATACCCTTTAATAAAAACAAGTTCTGTTGTTGGCAGCAAGTCTCAGAGTAAAGTTCTTTATAGTGTGGATAAAAGAAATCTACTAGTGGCAGCGAGAGAGAAAGAAGGAATGTTGCCAGCGTGGACCCTTGGGTTGAGGGAAACAAACAGGGGCACAGGGTGTACGTCACAAAGTGGTGACCAGTGGCGGGATTTGAATAAGAGTCCAGTAAGACCAAAGAAAAAAAAGTGAATTTTCCTGAGTGAAAGATACCTATTAGTCAGGGAAAGATCTGTTGTGAAGGAGTAGGTGACTCTCTAGAGCTTTTAGGGAAAGCTTAGTAGCGGGACTCCTAAACACAGATTGGGGACTAGGATAGGGAAAGACTCTGAAGGGAAAATTTTTGTTAGAGGTTTACCTTAAGATTTGAATAGACCAGTGGGCTAGCTTTATATCCAAGGCTCCAAGAGCTAAGGGAGCGCTGGTGGACAAAAGCGGAAGCGAGGGTCAGAAACATGTCTGAGGTAAAAGGAACAAGCAGAAGCTTGGAAAAATAATCTGAAATAGCTTTGAGTCTGGAGGCAAGAAAGTAGATTGTCTCAGAACAAAGAAGAGCTTGGCTGGGTGCCAGAAGAAACAGTGTAGCCACCCTTAGCTGCCGAAGGAAAGCTACAGAGTAACAGTAATTCAGAAAAGGGAAAAAGTATTTTTAAACAGAGGCTTGACTATCTGCAAAAGAAATAGTCTCATAAGGAGTAAAAAGCAAATAATGGAGTTAAGTGATCCTGAAGAGGCACACCAAGGCTTATTACCTCAGGAAGAGGATGGAGTCCCTATTTCTGTAGAACAAGGGAAAACTCAGGAGAGTACCTCAGGGAGAGAAAATGTTCTAATCTCCCAAAAGCTTGAAAGATGGAAGCTGGAACAAGAATTTAAATTACATGAGCTTGCCATGAATAATCAATTAGAAATGGAAAGAGAAAAAGCTAGAGCTGAGGAAAGACAAAGAGAAATGGAATTAAGACAGAGGGAAATGGAATTTCAAATATAAATTTAAAAAATTAGGATTGATAGCTCAAAACAACAACAACAACAACAACAACAACAACAACAATGATAATGAAGGGATTGTTAAAATAGATCTTAAGAAATTTCCCCTGTGTAGAAAAGGAAACTGTCCAGAAGCATTTCTTATTTCTTTTGAGTGCACTTGTTGGGACTTTAACATGAAAGAGGGTGAAAAAATGATTGTGTTAAGATCTCAAATAAGTGGGGATTTAGCAGATCTCTATTCACAAGTGCCACTAGATCAAGCAAGAGATTTTGAGGTGTTTAGAAAAATGGTTTATGCTCAATATTGAATTAATGCTGAACATCTGAGGCGAAAGTTTTGTACCTTGACAAAGAAATCTGAAGAATCTTATTCACATTTAGGGGCAAGGTTGGTCCAATATCTGGAGAAATGGTTGCAGCCTGAAAAAGTCATGTCTCTAGAAGAAATGAAAAACATAATGGGACTGGAACAGTTTTATTCAATTTTACCAAGGGAGTTGAGATATTTAGTAAGAGACAAAAACCCTAAAAGTGTACAAGAGGCTTGTGAAAAAACAGATATAAATGAAATCAGAAACCCAAAGTTTTCTGAAGTAAAAATTGGAGGGAAAGTGTGGGATGACAGAAGGAGAGGCAATAGAGAATACCTCAGGAGGACACAAGCTGCTGGAAGCTATTTTAAAAACAGACCCTCATCTCCAGAGCTAAGTCACCTGAAACAATATAGCTCTGAAGGAAATATTAATAAACCATATTTTGAACCTAGAGCAAATAAAACATGTTATGGGTGTGGAGATAAATTTTTGGGCTCAATGCCAGACCACCAAGAATAAAGATGTTGGTCAGCAAAAACGGGTGAGAAATTCCAGTGAGCGAAAGCAGACATATTGTGTACAGCATAAGGGAACTACCACAGAGGCAGTTGAACCAGTAACCATAGCAAGCACAGTGAGAACAGAAAGCCAAGAACAAGAGCCTCCTTTAGCAAGAGTAGTGCAATGTTATTTGATAGAAAGTAACCAGGAGCTTCTTCGCTGCTCTGGTGAAGTTATTTATGTAAATGATAATAAGTATCTGGCATTAAAAGACTCTTGCTATCAGGTAACGTTATGTCACCCTGACATAATCCCTAATGAAAATATAATAAGAAAGGAAAACATTACCATTAAAAGAATTGGAACCAAATTAATTACATTACCAATGGCTAAAATACAAATAAAATATAAAGGGTGGAATGGAGGTTGGAAAGTAGCCATATCCGATCAAATTCCTAGCCCATGCTTAATAGGACTTGATCTATCTGAGCATGTGAAGAGTTTTCTAGTAACTACTCACTCCCAGAAAGGAAAAGGGGAAGCACCTGAGGAAGAATATGATAACCCTAATGGAATAATAGAAGGGAATGAAACAGCTGATTTAGTCTCTATGAGGAATCCTCATAATCAGTCTTTTAGACAAGAACAAAAAGAAGACTCTACTTTAAACAAATGTTTTAGACTAGCTGAGGAAGGGCCACTGATCCCTGAACACCCCGAAAGATACTGTGTGGAGAAGGACCTATGGTACACAGAGGTCTTAGTGAATCCTAAGAGGGGAGGGGAAAGTATACATAAACAACTAGTAATTCCTTTTAAATATAGAGAAAGAATTATTTAAAAGGCACACAAAGATATATTTGTAGCCCATCTAGGGATCTCAAGAACTAAGCAAAGAATTGCTGAAAATTTCTATTGGCCTGGAATGGGAAAGCAGGTCAAAGGGTATTGTCAAAGCTGTGACACCTGCCAAAGACAAGGGACTGGAAATGAAAGGACCAGGGCTAAGTTGTGTCCTTTGCCAATCATCCCTACTCCATTTCAAAGAATAGGCCTGGACATAGTGGGACCCCTACCCAGAGTGACCGAAAGAGGGAATAGATTTTTATTATCCATACTCAATTATGCCACAAGGTATCCTGAAGCAGTACCATTGTGAAACATTGAAACTCAGACTGTGGCAGATGGATTAACAAGCTATATGTGTCGCATGGACTTTGCTTCCGAGATTATTACCGATTTGGGGACTGGCAAATTTACCTCTAAACTAATGAAAAGATTGTGGCATGTCTGCGGGATTACTCATATTACATCATCCGCTTATTCACAGACAAATGGGTTGCTTGAGAAGTTTAATGGGACCTTAATGAGAATGATTCATGCATATACAGCAGAGAATCCAAATGACTGGGACCATAAACTACAACCGTTATTATATGCCTATAGGTTTGTGCCCCAAGAAAGTACAGGATTTAGCCCTTTTGAATTGTTATTTAGACGGAAGGTTAGAGGACCCCTAGATCTACTCCGCCAAAACTGGGAGGAATATAGGGAGGAGGATCCTGAATCAGTGGTCTAATACATAGGTGCCCTGATGAACTCCTTAAATCAATCTCTTGAGTTAGCAGCCGAAAATTTGAAAAACAAGCAAACCAAACAAAAACAATGGTACAATAAAAGATCCAGGGAAAGAGATTTAACCCTGGAGATGAAGTGTTAATGTTAAGACCCATAAAAGGAAATAAACTAACATGGATGGGTCCATTTAGAGTAATTGATAAAATGAAGGACATAAACTATATAATTCAGGAGGAAGCAGTAGTGAACCTGAATATCATAGAGGGGGTTAAATTGCACTTCGCAGAAGCAGTATGTGTGAGTTTAGTGCAGCAGCAATGGAGGGATAGGAAACATATTCACTCTGCTGAGATAAGAGCACTTAGAACCTTAAAAGACAAACCTCTACCTAAAGCAAATGAGAAATAGGCCTAGTAATTAAGAAGAGACTCCAAAGAAACTTGCCAGTAAATAGGGAGATGACCTGTGATAGTAGTTCCACTCATAGGGAGACCATCTTAACAAAAATACTTATAAGTGAATTGATAGATGAGGAGGAAAGCCTAAGCTATGAGAACACAAATACAGCCACAGCCATATATGGTCTAGAGAAGGTGAAGAAACTACCTGTTCTTTCCTTAATTAATTAATTAATTAAGTAAAACCACAAGTCATAAAAAACAAACTTTATTAGGAAACAGAGACTAGTACAGGTCAGATGGACATCAAAGTGCCCAGTGACTGACGAGCCTTGTAGGAGAGCGCAGACATCAGGATCTGTCCTTGTGATGTCGAAATATATCTGAGGGTTCATCGCGAACATCGAGATGTTGTGCGGGGAGTCGAGAGCCGTGCTGTGCCAAGCGGAGGACAGAGGGAACCTACACCATGGGACTTTGATCAACAAGAAAGACCTATGTGACAATTTGAAGGCAGGATTATTGATTGATTGGACATTGCAAAGACTGAAACTCTATGTGAGGTTACGAACTGTGAAATCCAAAAACAACAAACTTGCAAGAGGGACACAAAATCTGAAAGACTGTAATTGTGAGACCCAAAGCAAAAGAAAGACTCAGAATACGATTGCAGATGCCTGGTCTCAAAGACCCAATGAATAACAGAAAGTAATGGGATGCGTTATCTCAAAGATCAGAAGACTTAAGGGTGAAGGAGAAAAACATGTAATGACTAATATTAAAAGAAATACTGTATTAAATGTTCTGGCTATGTTCATATGGTGAAATATAAAGTAATGCAATGTCGTGTTAAAATTAATGGTAAGTAGTAAATAAAAGAAAAAGTAATGTAATTTGTATTGAGGTAATTGATGAAAAGGGTTATAAGTAGAATAAATGTTTAAATGGGTAAAGTAATAAGTCTAATTTAATCAGAAGAGAAATTGATAACAGAATTCTGTATATGAATATATGCTATATAAAGGAAATATATGTATGTAAAATTTTGATAACAGAATATATGGATATATGCTAAATAAAAGAAATATATGTATGTAATATTTCACATAAAAGAGTGGAAATGTGTTAATTAAAGTTTGCGATTGCATTGTTCATGAGGGAAACAATAAGGTTTCCCCCATGAAACAAACTTTTCCAAGGGGGAAGGTATGTGACGGATACCCAAGTCGCTCCTGTCGATCACAGCGGAACCTCATATGCATAAGCCAATGAGAGGACAGGAGAGGCAGAGGTCTGTCAGTTACTCAGTTGAGGACCCTTGGGCTGAGGGAAACAAACAAGGGCATGGGGTGCATGTCACACACCCCAAGACCCATCACAGCACAGAAACATAACCCCCCCAGCTCAAAACCACACTGGAAAAACATCCAGAACAGTTTTTAAAAAGCAGAAAACAGCACCTTACCTTACAAGGCAGCCCGAAGCCTCCCTGCAAACACACACACATGCTGTCAGAAGCAGAAGGAGGCAGTCCCAAGTCTCAGAGGCCTCCAACAACTTCTAACTGCTGGGGCAAAAGAACTACAAAGAAGCAGCCTCTTTGCCACCTACAGTTAGAAATTTGAATTTCCTGCCTTTCCCCCTGCTTTTTTCTGTTTATAAGTGCAAGCTCCGGTCGCAAGTAGAAGCAAACTTTTGCGGCTGGAGCTGGTCATAACTCAAAATGGTAGGGACGTTCGTAAGTCGAGGCACCACTGTAACAGTCTTTTGCTCTTTTTTCCTTGTATGCATTCCTGTTGCACCTCTCTTTCAGATGAACTGACAGAAATAGCATTTCACAGCACCAAATGCTCTAGTCACCGAAGTTGCCAAATCATTACTCAGTGGTGCAAAATTACATTACTGCTGTATTTACTTTCAAATTAGCAAGTGTTTATGTGAACGTGACTTAATTGTTCTTGCTCAGTTCTACTAGTAATCACCTGGCCTTTTCTTTTTAAGGAATATTTGTATGAACAGCTGTCTAACGAGGGCTCATCAGAAGAAGGCACAGAAAGTATTCAGCCTTTAAATGTGACACCAAGAAACAAAGAACGGCCTGGTTTCGACCCTTTCCAGGTTCACCACTCCTATTGCACTGATGTCTTAGAAAAGGTTGGTGATTATTTGGAACATTTTCATTTGAAGTGAAAATAACACTCCAGTTCTTGTATGTTAGGATTTTTAAAAATACATGCACATGTTAGTTCACTGACAAAATCTATACTTCCCACATAAAAGCCTGTGTCCATTCTTATGCTCACTGTCCCTAGAGTGGGGAGAAAAGAGTCCTTTAATCAAGGCCCTGCTGTTTCTGTCACTAACTGAAACGCTTAACTACACCTTTCTCCCATTATGATGTTTTTCAAATCCTTGTTAGACCTACACTTAACAAATGAATGCCAGGCTGTTTTCTGCATTGTACAGTAAACTTGCAGTTAAGTGAAAACTATGGACCCTCTTCTCCCAAAATCACGCCTCTTGTTGTTTGAGCCAGTAAAGGTGCATAGGTTTCTCAGATTATTGTCCAGTCTTGACATTCAGATTTTATACACCTCTTACAGGGGCATTGCCACCTTTTTTCACTCCCAAATGGTGATACTTCTGACTGAGAAAATGTGAACTGAAGAGGGAAGGTAGCATGTACAAGGAGAATGTAAGGGACAAACTGTTTCATAAAAGTACTTTAATTCATTAACGTTCTGGGAAAAGAGAACGGGAATAAGGAAAATCCACTGTATTACATGGGTGCATGCTGTTCACACGGAACAGTAAGCCCCGCTGCCACTTATATCTAGTGAAAGTGACACACTTGGGGAAGGAAATCCTAGGATTCCAGAAAGAGCAAAACAAGGCCAGAGGATGCACCATAAGCATGAAATGGTGTTCTGGTTCCTCATTTTGTGGTTGTGATGATAGAAAACTAGCATGGGGAACAAGTGTTACCTTGGAGAAGATCAACATGAAAGGTTCAACAACGGTAATATTCCATTTGCACAGGAAAGTTATGTCCATAGAACATTCCCCAAACATCTTGTTTGACTAGCTATTGCATGTAGAAGAGATAATAAAAAGCAGCACAGTTTTGAATAAAGAGAAGCAGCACAGTTTTGAATAAAGAGAATAGCAAAAGACAAGTAATATTGTTTTCTCTATCTTCCACCAGTCTGCTAAGGCTGGAATCCTATACTTGCTTGATAATAAGTCCCACTGATCTTTGTGGGGTTTACTTCTGAGTAAGGCATGTGTCAGCTTTCACTGTAAAAACTAAATATTCCTGACACTTCCTCCACTCATTCAGATTCTTAGAAAACAGATTGCAATGTAAACCATTTTTAAAAGCTTTTACTATTTTAAATTATTTAAATTTAAATTATTTAGAAGGGCAATAGAACAAGATAGGGAGGTGAATGACAGATCTGTACATCTGCAGCCTCATGAAGTGCAAAAAGCTAGGTTTTCCCCTCTCAGAGACCTTCCCTTCCTCCAGTCTCATACACCTGATTATATCCCTTTAACTAGCATGATCTCACTCACTTGTTCACAACAGTGGGAACTGAATTGTTCATAAGCAGCCATGTAAACCCTTGCTTGTTCCAGAACTGATTTTCCCTCTTGCCCTGTAATAAAACAAGATATTTCTGATAGTATCAACTCCCCTACTTTTACAAAAATTGAATATCTTAAACACATTGTATTTCTTGTGCAATTTGCATACCATGTACAATTTGTGAAAATTGCTCAGAACTATATCACTGAACTATATCACTCAGAACTATATCACCTTCATGGATTGCTGCCTTGTCGTGGTGAAGGGGCTTGAGTAACTCAGAGAAGCTATGGACTATGCCGTGCAGGGACACCCAAGACGGACAGGACATAGTGGAGAGTTCCGACTAAACGCAATCCACCTGGAGTAGGAAATGGCAATGCCACTCCAGTATCTGGTATGCCCTATAATCAGAAACAAAAGGCTAAAAGATATGACGCTGGAAGATGGGCCTTTCAGGTCGAAAGGCATCCCACATGCTACTGAGAAAGAGCGGAGGACAAGTATAAGTAGCTCCAGAGCTAATGAAGTGGTTGTGCCAAAACCAAAAGGACGCTCAGCTGTGGACGTGCCTGGAAGTGAAAGGAATGTCCAATGCTGCATAGAAAAATACTGCACAGGAACCTGGAATGTAAGATCTATGAACCTTGGGAAACTAGAGTTGGTCAAACAGGAGATGGCAAGAATAAACATTGACATCCTGGGCATCAGTGAACTAAAATGGACAGGAATGGGCGAATTCAATTCAGATGATTACCATATCTACTATTGTGGGCAAGAAACCTGTAGAAGGAATGGAGTAGCCCTCATAGTCAACAAAAGAGTGGGAAAAG